CTTTGTGTCTGTCTCTTTTACATCTTTGAAACACTCATCTTTTCCTCCCCCCACATCTCGACTTTTTTCACTCTGATGTTCCTTCCCTCTGTGAAGCCTGAAGTCAACTTAAGGGCTAATGATAACTATCAAAACGCCTGCCATTTGGTATAAATAAATAAATACTTTATCCAAAATTGGGATTCATCGGCGAGTTTGTTTTTTGCTGCAATGTTTAAGCGCTCTAAAATTACACTTTCAACAAGCATTTTACTGTAGTACGGACAAGATTATCAGAACTTTAAAGTAAAGTGGTCTATCGTTTACTTGATACTCTTTGTCGAGTCGGTAAATTCGCGGAATGACTTCCAAAAGCATGCCACACAATCATGGTAAACGTTTTTCATCTTGCTGACAGAGCCCTGACAAATTGAAATATATGGATGAAGTTTCATTTATCAAAAGCGGAATACGTCCACACTTCCTTTTATGGACGTCCAACAAGTCTGGAATATTCGTATTCTCCCAAGTTATTATTCACTGACATCGATGTATGATGACAAAATTGCAGGAGGTACAATTAGATGATTTTATTTAGTTCAACAAGGGTCTTAGTCGGAAACCATGATCATTATTGACTGGAAAGGTATTAATTACCTTAGATCTTTTGAGGATTTTTTCATGCAAAAAGATTAGCGAAGGTTGAACAGGAAGCTGTCCGTCAGTCCAAGCATCATCATGCTAGTGCTTTATCTCCCCTTCTCCGCATTCAACTTTCCTCTCTTGGCGATCCCTTTTATTTATTTATATCAAATGGCAGGCGTCTTGGTGGTTATCATTAGCCCTTTAGTTGACTTCAGGCTTCACAGAGGGAAGGAACATCAAAGTGAAAAAATCGAGGTGGGGGGGGGGGGGGGGGGGAAGAGGTGTTTCAAAGACAAAGATAGAAAAAGGTGAGGTGAGTACTGTGGAAGTGGTGGAATATGAATAGAGAGGGGTAATGGTAGTTTGAAAGGAGAAGGCAAATGCCGTTTAATAGACTTTTGTGCCATATGAGTATACGTTGCCCAGGGTAAACCACTTGGAGGTAAGCCTATCGCACACCCCGCGATCTTTTTTATGAATTCTCAGTCCTTTATCTGGAACAAACCTTGATAAGCGACTATATCCGCCCTCAAGAAAAAGTATTCTGATTGGGCTTCGCATATCCGAACTCTTTAAGCCACGATTCCTCCTTCCCATCTTCCCACGCATGTGCTACGCGGCAGACAACCCCCCCCCCTCTGATAAGATAGATCTGGCATTTAACATCTACAATTTGTTACTTGCTTTCTTCAATATAAATTTACTTTCGCATATAAGAATTCTCGGCAGTACTATACCAAGGGTCATTGAAAGCAGTGTTTTCAAACTCTTATCCTAAGTGGAGCAATATGGTTTTTTTAGCAATTTCAATTAGCAACCCCTTATGGGGCCCATACTACATATTACCACCACTGAATGGGCACCTGTAAACGTCTACGCCATTATCTCCGACTTTTCTAATTCCGCATGTAGGAAATTTTAAGTGATTTGTCGAGACTTGGTAATCTTGCAAATACGTATGTTAACTCAAATATATTCGCTGTCTTACAACTGTGCCATCAAAGGACAATTTGTCTGCTAGTCATCTGACCAATAATGGACACAAGATGGTTGGTTTAATTGTCCAGACATGTATTCAACTTTCTTTGGATTTCATTCTTCGCATTGGTACACAATGATTTTTAAGAGAACTTATCAAAGCCTACATAAAATTGGCTAAGAAAGATACTATCTGCTAAAATCATGTAAATAAAGTTCGGTAGAAGGAAAACAACTTTTTAAATCCTACTTTGGTAGGAGGGGGTGGAGGGGGGGGGTGGGGAGTAGCGTGAATGGCCATTCAGTTGAACGGATGAGTACGGGTTTACAACAAACATGTGACCTCCAAAAATGCTGATGAACACGCCAATTGCCGTACCAAACAAAACAAATGAAAATTATTTAGTTTTTCCCCATTTTTAGCAATAAACGTCCTCTAGAATTTACCAAACTATATAAATAATCAGGTGAATTTAAGTGAAGTACCTTAAAACTAATTAAATGGACGAAATAAACAAATCAGTATCACAAAAATATGTCCACTGGACTTACAAACAGAAAGCGTTCAAGGCAATAAGAGCCAAAATTAATCATTCCAGGTAAATTGGAAAGACTGTCAGTCTATTAGATAGCGTCATGGTGGACATCTAAATCTGACAGAAAACAGTCAATTCCCTAAAGTGTTTTAAGGCCTGATAAAGTGAACAGCAAAGCTAAATTCTCTAAATTCATTAATTTAGTTAAATTAAATTTGATATAAATCATAATTAACAGCTCTTTTTTTCTTCTGTTCAGAGATCAATTCAACTAGGCTGTTTTGCCATCTTTCGCTTTCTCAGTTTGTGAAGCGCACATACACATGAGACCACTCAATTCAAGCATTGACCAATCACACCGCGAGAAATGAGTTTCCCTCTCACCTCACTACCCAATCACCTTCGTCTTCACCCTGATCGATAGGGAAAAGCTGCTTCAACAATTAAACCATAAATGTGAGAAAGCCTATAAAACCTCTTTGCACGAATTTTATTTTTCTGAGGTGTCTAATTTCATAATCCATCATCCTACCTCTTATGCCAATTACTATTTTATCTCTCCTTTTGCTAGTAAAAAAACCAGAAAATATTTTGAATGAATAAAACTAAAATTTGGATACTGATATACGAAGAATACAATAATTTTCTACAAGAAAACGTTTCCAATTTTTTTAAGAAAATAACATTAGCACGGGGAAACTAGAAAAAAATTGTCAAACCCATTAACTGTTATTTTATAAGGGAGCACACATTCGATAGCTCTCAAATGAGAATTTTCTGTCCAGCTAACTTGATAACAATAAAATCAGCAACAAGAGTTGAGAATCCCACTTCGTGCATAAATTTGCTTAACGATTAATGTTGTCCGCAGTTGCATCTTCGCCTTGTTTACAAATCTCTAAGTAAATAGAGGAATATGATTAATTCATTTCAGTTTTTTAAACCTCATATGCTTGGTATCAAAATTACAATAATGATTGCTGCAGTATTGGCACTAGATATTTATTCAATAGTTTCAAAACAAATTTTGTATATCCCCATTACTCTCCATCAGGAGTTTGCGTGTTCGATTTTGAGAGCTTAACTGGAATCGTTATTGCGAAGTGTACTATAAACCATGGCTTTCATTTCATGATGAATCTAAGCGTATAGTAAACTTGAATACCTATTTTGTACTCTTAATGCTCTGCGTTATACTTAATGAATGCTGCAAATTACTACCCTACATAGACCTTAATTCAAATTTAAGTTTAAGACCTGATAAGCAAATGGAGCAGTTTCACAACATCAGATTCAATAACTTTGTAGAGTAGTATATCGACACTAAGTGGACTAATTTGGAAATGTCAATAATTAGCTTAACATATAGAGCACGCAAGTTTTAGCCGGGAAATAAATTGAAATCATCGTTTTCCTGCACAAATGAAAGTAGCATGTTTGATGTCACATGGGAACGGAAACATTCGTTTGCGGAGTCTCAAAGAACTCATAAATCGACATAAATCTACTAAGAACGGAAATTGCCTCAGGTTTCCGCTATCATTCCCATTCAACGCCTCATGCTTAGGGATTGAAGCCTAAAAGAAATTTATCTAAATGTCTTTATGAGTGACAAATACACGTAATGAATTATAGCTCCTCACTCTTCATTTAGCTGGTCAAACTACCCCCCCCCCACTTCAACCCCACTTCAGTCAAGTCAAATTATTACTTTTGAATAATCGCTTTTAGTAACTTCATCTTTAAGAAATTATCTAATTGCGATGTCTTAAATATGACTTCCCAAGACCTTTACAGAAAACATTCTTTTTAATGCTCATCTTGGGTAGAGGGGCAACAGCACTAAGTCCGTCTGATGAAAAATTAGAATTCTCCCACCCTCTCATTGGTCAGACTTGGTCACTCCAATTGAGCCTTCTACCCACTTGGTGCGTAGTTATGATATCTGGCTTTTACAGGTGAGTACAAAAACTGGCAGTGTTAAAAGAAATTTGTTGGTGCTTAATAGTTAAGAAGTAAACTCACTTGTGTGGCAATATAACAGTTTGGTTTCTTGTAACCATCGATATAATTTGCATTGATGTAATCAGAGCCAGGGATTCCATCGATAGATCTTAATATGACCCTAGAGTGGTCGTAGGCTACGACGTTGGCGTAACGATTCTTTGACTTGTTTACTTCAAGGTTAGAATTCTCCCACGTGAATTGGTGACCTGGATCAATGGACTCGTATTCCTGGGAGAAAAGTCGATTATCATCAGCACTGAGTTTTACGATGTGCTCTGCCAAGTAGGCTGCTGGAATAGGTCTCTGAGAATGATTGTCTGGAAGAGAAGAAGAGGATATTAAAAGTTTTAAATATGTAGGAGAGTTAGTATATACATATGGGGTGTGCGATAGACTTACTTCAACGTGGTGCACCCTGGTCAACGTATACCCATACGGCAAAAAAAGTCTATTAATCGGCAGTTGACTTCTCACTTCAAACCTCTATGATCCCACTGTATGCCATATTCTACCACTTTCACAGTACTCATCCTACCTTTTCTCTACCTTTGTGTCTATCCCATTTACAACTGTAAATCACTCTTCTATTCCCCTCCCCACGACTTCCTGTTACTTTGATGTTCCTTCCCCCTGTGAAGCCCGAAGTTAGCTAAAGGGCTAATGATAACTATCAAAACGCCTGCCATTTGAAATATATGTGTGTATATATAACATATTTACTCAGGGTTAAATGTTGTAGCTAATATAGAGATCAAGATGACTCTAGAGAAGGTATGTCTGGACTAAACCATAACATGACAAAATGCGATGCGTTTGACGGCAGTCGGAAGCCAATCACGTTGAAGGTGGTCAATCATAATACTAAAGTGAGCCTAACATGTGACCAAATACCAAGAGCTCGGTTGCAATAGACGTGACATTCAGACAGTCATTGGCTGTTTGTCCTTCAACTACAGTTGCTGTTATCCTCTAATGGGACTGGAGAAAGAAGAATTTCAAGGTAACGAAAGTACCAACTACCTTTCTATTATGAACCAATGTAATCCTCAAAATGGGACCAACTACAGATGATTAATTATGCCTTTAAAAACGTGAACGTGGAAAAAAGTGAGCTAACTTTGCCCAACCACTTCCGTTTTTTTCGTTTTTATTTTCGAAATAAAACATTTGACCGCTTTAGCAGTCAAATTGTCACTTTTCTCGTTCCGACTGGGCAATTAAACTGAAAAGAACATTGGCGCATTTTTCACTTCCATTTTTTCACATTTTTTTCCATTTAATTTGGCCAGTGAAACCAGCGCTATGACCTTGATCACTTGAACTGAAATATTCTACCTTTTCACTTAGCTTCAATCCGTGGGTGAGATGTAGGAAATAAATTTTCCTGGCCAACATTCATCAAGTCGTACTTGACAAGCAGTTTATTTAGTCTTTGTAGTTTCCTTAATTATCGCAATTTTAATCCTAAATTGCAAATCATCAGGCACCAACTCTAATTTTCACCAACTTTATTGCTGCTTAGTTTGTGCTATATGGAATGTAGTAGAAACACTTAAGTTCATCAGAAAATTATCCCTTCCGTAAGCTATGCACAAAGTGAGCTGAACAATGTATCCGGCCAACAGAGATCTTTTACTTTCTTCCTCTACCTTTTTCTATTTGTTGATAGTGGAATTGGCGGAAGAAAGGCCGATAGGCTGACAATTCTCACTACCTCCCCTGCACTCATGACCTATACAATCATTTCCTTAACTTAAAACATGCCGATACTTCAGATTATTTGCTCAACCGTAATAAAACCTTTTAACCAAGCCGGAGAAAGTATTTAAGGCATTTGGCATGGCTAGATGGAAGATCTCCTGAAGCCATACAGGGGGAGAAATTCACTTTCTATCAAACTTGTTGGTTGGCATCTCGTACTTTTCTGGCTTAAAAACAAACATTTATTTTAGGCTTTGTCAAGAGGAACTTCAAATTTATTTTGAAATCCTTAGGTAAGCCATCATCTGCATTAGTTGCTAATAGATTACGGACTGATATTCGAACTGAAATTAGTTGATAATCTAATTATCAATCAGCTTAAACAAATTTCGATCAAGTCGTTCCCAAAATCTATAGTTGACCAATCCCTTCTTATGAATGAATGAAAAAGTAGCATTGGCAGTGTTCGTGGATAATATTCGGTGGCGGCTTAGAGTTAATCAGCTACTGCCATTTCAGGTATTTCCGTGTTTAGTCTATTTTCTATTAAGCATGACCTGGCAAGCAAGAATTTTAACACTTTGTTTATAGGCCCTCAAAGTGATTGAACCTCTCCTCCTGGGTCATCTACATTAAAAAAATATTGTCTTGTGCTCAAATATCCGGACCTGGATCGGCATTCATAAATGAGTTCTAGCGACAATAAGTGATGTCAGCTGACAAACAATATGACAGGCGGATTTTCACTCAATTTACTAACGCATATCACGTGATTCAACTGTAACTAAATGTTACTTTAAGTGAACAATTAAATGAACCTTCTACACTCAAGTTATTGAGTCAAGTACTTTAAAAATGGTTTGATGAGGGCTTAAATTCGGTTAGATTTAGTATACGCACAAAAAGAAAAAGACATTTTCAAAATACCCCTCAAATGCACATGAGGAATTAGTTTAATTAAAACAGCGGGACTCACCATTTCCGTAGAACAGATGCTGTAGTTCAACACTATTTGCATCCTCAGTAGTAGCAGCTTCATTTGTGAACAGTCCTCTCGTAGGTCCTTCATTAAGGGTGGCTATCTTTGAGGCTAGCATCTGTCGATTGAAGGAGTTGTAGGGTCCGATGGCGCCAAGTCTTGAAAAACCACCGTTGATACGCGGCGACGTTGGATAAACACTGAAGGAGACGCTGCTCCCATCCATTAGATCGCCCTTATTGTCTTCACTCACTGAGGGAAAAAGAGCTGTCATTGGAGGTCGACTTCCACTTCCTACACCCCCAGAAAGACCAGAGGAAGAATCGGAGCAATATGGATAACTGCTCCGTGGAAAACTGTTGATGTGCGTTGAAACGGACGGGTCCTAAAATGCATATGAACAGCAAAGACTGGCAATTTATAAAACAACCGTTTATTTAAATTTCGAAATTCTAACTTAGATCAAAGTAAGCTATTTATGTAGAAGTGGACACAGGGTTAACGTGCCCTAATCTGAACATAGGTCTCAATAGAAGTTTTAAAACGCCTGAGTGACTATATATGACTCAAATCAAACTATTGTTCGACTTGTATAAAAGTGAATAAATTCAACCACAGCAATAAAATGGGCATTCAAGGAGTAGAATGACAGCACACAATTTTAAAATGTTACAAATGACTAATGAATACTTGAGGAAAGCAGTTCTATGAGAACCTAAACAATCACTCAAGAACTCCGATTAATTGATTGCCTTCTAGTTGAAGGTATATTCATTGCCATTATTTAATTATTCTATTGGTGAAATCGCAATATCTATGCAAACCTTTACGTTTTGAGTTAATCTAAAGAACACTGAGCCACAAAGCAAGTTGGAGTTGGGCTAATAACATTATGTCAGCTGTGAAGAACGTCGACGAAGCATAGAGAATAGGTGAACATTCATTAGATCAAGGGACAAGCACTTTTCAAACTATTTGTTGAGAAAAGAGTCTGGTGGCATCATAACAACATGATCGCTTCCTTTTATCCTCTTTACTCTATCAGCCAATAACGTAATTGCACATTCAAACTAACTTATCTTATCTATTTCTTCTCAATAAAGACTTATTTAGACCATTGTCTACTATGAGTGCTGTTGTCAATGGATTTGATAGATGTAGCATTTTGTAATGTGATAAAACTAAATGGGAATGGAATTATGAGTAGAAAATACGGCACACAGAGACACGAGAGAAACTTTGTCATTGTACAATCAAGCATGCAGAATAACGGAGAAGTCCCACTCATTATTTACGTCACTACGACTCAATTCAAGTTTTTTTAAGACTACACTATTAAAACGTATCAATATCATATCGGCGGCAAATTTAACAAGGCCCACCTGAGTGCCGTTGTGATATGTCACACCAGTCGGCGGCATTCCAACAAGTTGAGTGTATCCAGGGGGTGACATGGACAACGCTCCGTTGTTTGCGCATATTGTACCTGTGATGGCAGGCCCGCAATTATAGAACGCTCCTGCAGGCGCTTGAGACGACGATACTCCGTCAGCTACATTCATTAGGGGCTGTTTCAAACTCTGATCCAAATTGACAGGTCTCGTCAACAGCTTTGGCTTTCTTCGTCGTCTGAGCAACCAAAAAATGATAGTAAATAATGGGAAAGTATGGAAATAAATAATCCAATACTTGTCGGTGTTCGAACAGGTCAAAACTCATAATACAAATTGAAAAAGTTAACTTGGTCGATTTCATTAAAAGGTTGCAGATACTTTGGTATGTAAAATTCACTTTTTCTACAACTAGTAGGTAGTGGAAACAATATTTATAAATCGATAAAACACATATTTTAGTTTGACAATAAGTAATTCAATTAATCAAAGTAGTTCTATGCTATTCAACTTACACCAATGATAAATAATTACAGTTTAAAATCATTAAGAAGAGTAGGGCAATGGTGTCTCTCTGATGACAGCAACATGTTTTGCGCCTTCAGCGACATCTAGACTCAAATAGTGTCGTTGTCCGTGCTGATAGCTTGTGAACCCAGATTTAGCAGTCATGCAAAGCATAGCAGCCGATGCAAATACAGATGACTGATTAGAATCATTTTATTAACCCTTAACCCTATCATTAAAAAATCATTTCCTTCTTTAAGCTTTGAATATTTTAAAACCATATTTGGAAAAAAGGCATATACAACATTTTTTTTCTAATTTCAAGCATTACATAAGCCTTATTTAACGTGTAGTTCAAATCCACTGTAATGAAGGTAAATGTAAACTAAATAAGGCAATTGATGCCATTAGATCATGACAAAATGGGGGTCGGGCGAATGTAGGTTCCAATGACTAAATCCTCTGCTTCTATTGGCTTGCAGGATATATCCAACTAACCCCAAATCAATGGCAACTCACTTGATTTGTCCATTCTAGATTAGCATATTTCATAGAAAGAATAAGAGACAGGGTGTGGAGCCTACTTACAGAAAGGGAATTTTTCACGAGAAAAAAACTTTATCCTGCAACTTTTGGCTGTGTTTGTGGGTGTCATGGAAAACGCCTGTCTTTTAACAAAACGTTGTTTAATAGGTAAAATAACTCAATACCATGACAATCGGAATCTTGTAATATCACAGACCCTAGGCTCAACCATATTTTTCGCTTTAGCTACAATGACACGCAAGCAAATTGACTCCGTTTGTTTCGAAACCTCCAAAATGGGCTTAAATGAAGACGTCATTTTTGAAACTACGTAAGTATACATCTCTACTTTCAAAACACTTTTTCTAACTTCATTGGAAAAATCATTAAGGTATATATCCATGTATGACATTAAACTCACCTGAAAATACAAACAAGCACAGTGCATATTGTAGTAACCACTGCGGCTCCAAGAATAACCGCAACAATTGAAACAGTGTAGAGATCAGTGGATCCGAAAATCAAGGGTGGGTCGCCGGGAGAGCCCGGAGGTGTTGGGATCTGACCAGGTGGAGGTCTCAAATCAAGCAGAGCTGGAAGATATGGATCGGTAGCGAATGGAATTGACCATTGTGACCTTGTGCAAGTTTCGAAACTATCCGTTGTTGATCCATTGGCTTGGAATGTACAAGCCAGCACCAGTGCCTAAGATCAAAAGAGTGACGATTAGATAACTTGATGCGTTGGAATCAGATTTAAAAGATAGATGAAAACACAAATGTATTTAACTTCTTCTATTAAAACTATTTACAACTTATAGTTGATTCTTCCTAGACGCAGTGTGGATTGTAATAACTCTCATTATTTGATCCGGTCAATCTCCAATCCTCTTTCAATTTTACACTTCTTTCAGCATTGTTTAATAATTATAATTTATAAAGTTAGTAATATCCAACTTTCTAAGCCTTTAAGAGAACAATATTTGAAAGGGGTACAATAAAGAAAAATCTCAATAATACGGGGCCATATCATGAAATTTGAATTTTGAACAGGAGAGCACTGAACTACCCATAAAGTGGTAATAATGATAATAATCCGACTTTATTCCAACTTATTTTCTATCATGGACTGCGGGAGAGAATTATCTCCACGTGGTGCATCCCGGTCAACATATACTCATGCGTCAAAAGTCTATCAACCGGCAGTTGGTTTCTAATTACCATGACCCGACTGCATATCATATCCGACCACTTCTGCAGTACTCACCTCACCTTTTTCTCTACCTCTATGTCTGTCAGTCTTTTTTTCATCTGTGAATCACTCTTCTATCCCCTCCCGACATTTAATGTTCCTCCTCTCTGTGAAGACCGAAGTCAGCTAGAGGGCTAATGATAACCATCATAAAGCCTGCCTCTTGATATAAATAAATAATCTATCACCTCTCCTCTCACCGTCATTCGGTAAGTTGACGCTGCCCAATTTCAATACTTTTCTCGCACATAACAAAATGGCCACCTTTCGACTTGAAGTGCTGTTCTCAAGGTCGATTAAAACATTGGGAGAAATTTCAATAAGCTGTTATGTAGTTAAGTTGTTGAAAGGGTTTCATTTAGTTAAAGGTGCAGAAATCCCGGAGTCCACAACAAAGATCGTTTCACTACTTAAATGTCAAATCCCAAAATATGAGAATAATTTACCAAAATAAATATTCCGACTTTGGAAATGTGATTAGCATTATGTATTCGATCGAATGGTAAAAGGACTAACTTAAATTAGCCCAAATTTACAGCAGCAACTCAGTTACTGTGGCGTAATTGTGAAATACTTTGGGCTGGTAAAAAGGCATCGACTTACGCAATAGACCTGACCAGCCTCAAGGGGTTTATTGTCGAAGACTACGGCAGCCGTCAAGTAGGCATTCGCAGATTCTACGGTTTCATCCAACGATCCAGCATCATTCAGCAGCCAATTCTGTTGAGAGTTGGCGGAATACACCTTGCCTCTAACTATGTCTGGACTTCGTACCATTCGTTTCGAATCAACACCGTATATGGGAGAGGTAATTACATTGTTTCCGCCTAGAATGAAATTTCTGGAAGTAGTTCCTGCTGGTTCAAAATATTCTTGCGTGAAACGAGCTGCTATGTATCTTGTCTTGGTTGACGGAAGCTTTCGTGAAGACGCAATTATCTGCAACAATAAAAATTTACTTTTAATTGCACATTTAATAACGCAAAAAAACTGTTAGCCAGAAGAACTACGCTAAATATGGCCATCAAATGTGCCCTTAAGTAGTTCGTTTACTGCTATTTGAATTGCGCAACTCGTCAAATTTAAGGCAATTCTAAAACCAGTTAGGATGTATCGTAAACTGCGAATTAATTGGCTCATAAAATATTTTTTAAGATCTATTTCCTGGACTTCAACAATGACTGTTATTAGTGTTAATTGATTCTTCTCGAAAATCGACAAACGTGAAAAAAATGATCCAACTTGCAAATTAACCGAACAACTGAATTAGTTATGAAGAACTACCGCAGACATAAGGCTGGATCGAAAGAAACTCTTCACTTAAGGTTTTATTAATTCAAATAAACAGAGTTCAAGCAATTATGCTTGTTCTCATCACTAGACTGGAACAAAGGGTACAAGGAGAAAAAAAACACGATTTGTTTTGTCCAACCATCCCCCGGTTGATTGGCTATTCATTAAGCACAGGACATTGTCAGCATGAATTTTAATCATTAATCCAGGGAAAAATCATGAAATCTGAAATTTTGAGCATTAGAAATGGCGAATTGAACAATTCAATATGGAAGCTATGCAAATTTTAAATCAAATACCAAAAGAGGTAGAACTTACTTTGTTGAAAAAAAAATACAATTTTTAACCACGAAAATGTGATTTAAAATATATATAATTCGTTATTTACAAAATTTGCATATTTGTTTAAACGTGCATACCGTCGCTTTGCCAAATTTTGGAATAAATTTACCTGTTTTCAAATATCCTTTTGGTTCCAAAATCCTGTTTTACTTTATTGTCCAGTGTAATCGATGGGGACTTTTTAACTAGTCGAAAAATTATTTTAATCATTCACTAATCTAAAACGTCATCTTCTCTTTTTGTATTGAGTTAAATTGAATAGAAAAGAAGGAAAATTAGTTGAGATAAACCATTATCTCCTCTTCAATCCATGTTTTCCTGACAATGAGGTTTCCTTGTCAATTAAACAGCAGGGGTGAAAGTGTTATCCTTGTATTATCTCAGTGCTGCGTAAATTGGATTAGCTAGAGTAGTCAACAGCTTTATTTTCACTGATTCGGTACATTGAGAAGGTATTGAGAAAATACCAAACCACATAAGATCGAAAATTATCCCCCACTTGTTTATGGGTGTACGAAGTGGTGGCAGGTGGGGTAAGGGAGAGTTGGTGTGGACAGAATTTAGGTCTTTATAGACAACAAAGGGACAAGTATAAATGCATAAACATGGTCTATTGGTAGTCAAATCAAGTCAATGATAATATAATAAGAACCATAACAAAAACCGTGAGTCTCCTGTTTTCCAAAACTAGACACTTGCACTAAATTGATGATTTAATCATTAAATAGTTTTGTCAAAGTTAATACGATTGTTAAAGAAAATTTGGTAGACTTTAATATTTGCACAACCGATTTCATTCTATCCTAACTCCAAAGCCTTTGAAACAAGTTACTTAATCCCGACTGGATTCACCTTGAACCGGTCATCGGTTTCAACACAATTAATGGTGACCTTTTGAGAAAACTCGTTCAATCCATTGATTTCGTTCTTACTCAAGAGAGGGAGAAAAAGAGTAGTTTCTTGTTAGATTGACAACTATAATTTAATTAGCGCTAACGATTCCCTTAAGTGAGAGGATATTTTAATACTATCTATTGAAAATTCCTATGAATGTTAGTATTCAACTTCGTTTGCAGTTGCGTAACCAAGCGTTTCCAAAACAACCAAATTACGTACATTGGAATGACAATTATTCAAGCAATAAAACTAGGACTATAAAATTAATTAGTTAGTGAAGTAGGATAGAGGACCTAGTTTTGGAGGGATAACAGTAATCAGCATTGGAAATCTGAATGACACACACACAGAGTAACTTTGTTTTGGGGAAGAATTATGTTTAATAGAAAGTAATTGCATCTATAGCAATTAACAAATCAACACTCTCGATGCTAACCTTCAGGGTTTGACTAATTCTTAAATTCTTTTTTTTGAAAAATGTACCCAATCGCAGCAGACTGATTCCGCCGACGTGAAGAGTTTTGGTGGTACATCAGGCGAGGGCTATAGACACGTATTGAATATGTTTTAAACTGCATTTCGCTTTCTGTTTCTAGTTTAGTACCAATGGAGCTCTTAAGGGGGTTAAAGTTTTAAAACACCTCGAAGAAATGTTTCTAGTGTTTTAAAAACGGTCTCATTAAGTGACTTTCCTTATACAGTTTTAATGTATGTATCCGGTGTTAATTAAGCCTGTATCAATCTCGATAAACTTGCAGTAAATTGGAATGAACATATAACAACTGATCTGATTCACCAATATGTACGTTAAAACCCAAATTTTGGCAAATTAACCAGTTTCAAGAATATGCTGTATATTATCATAGTCTTCCACATGTCCTTAAGGGCAGCTTTCATAACGCCATTTACGAACTAACACCTATCAGGATAAGAGGTCAACTTACAAACGTGCTAAGTCAGAAGTCAAGGGTGTGAAACTCATCAGTTTGCACCCAATATACCTCACGGCTAAAAACAGCCAATAAAGGAATAGCAAAAGAAAAATTTCTCATTGAGCTGATTTCAGGTCGCTCTAGGTGATTAACACTCCCACCCGACTCCATTATTTTTACAATAACAGCGTATAACACCGATAGGTCGGAGATCAGGAAATCGTTATTCGTCGTCATACTTCCAGTGATGTGGATGGTCAAAAGCATTGATCAACTTGAGATGTAAGAAATACTATCGACTGTTCGCTTCTAAGAAACTACCCCCTATCCGATTTATATGCAGCAAACACTTTCATTTAAAGAGTTTAATAAATTACTCTACACTTTAAAAAAAAATTTAAGAGGACGAAATTCATCGCCAAGTCCAATAGATCTAGGATGAAGCTGAAAAATTCCAAAATTTTATTATTTATTTCCTAACAGCGTGTGCTTAACGGAAAATGTCAGGATTGACACAATCTCTCTCGGTCGTTGACGGATTTATGATAGGCCTGACAAAGTGAGTAAAATTCTGTCACTTTAATTTATTTCCTACACGACACGCTGCACCATATTTTTTTTAAATTTTGTTTTATTATCTCTCTAGCTAGAAGTCACATCTGTTTAAGGTGGGGAAATGTCGGATATTTGGAGTTCGGCCATAGAACTATTTTCCAGGAATTCTCCTACTAGTGGTTGCCGACCAATAATTGCGATATTCGTCTCTCGATGATGAAAGTGATAAAAATTCTCTCCCTCCCTCCCTCCCTCCCCTCCTATACAATCAGTGCTAATTCATATAATCAAATACCCTGTGACCTAAAATGGACGTGTTCTCTTTTATTTTGCAAATTTAAATACATACCTCTAATTACTTATAATCACTTAACTCCACGTGGTGCATCCTGGGCAATGTACACTCATACGGTAAAAAATTCTATAAACCGGCAGTTGACTTCTGACTTCAAACTACCATCACCCCACTGTATGTCATATTTGACCACTTCAACAGTACTCATCTTACATTTGTGTCTGTCTGTCTCCTTTACATCTGTAAATCACTTTTCTATCCCCTCTCTCCACTGTTTGCCATTATGGTGTTATTACTCCCCTCTGTGAGGCTCGAAGTCAGCTAAAGGGCTAATGATAACTATCAAAACGCCTACCATTTGAAATGAATAAATTACTTATAATCAAATGAAATTATAAATATAATTCCTCCCTTTTTAGAGAAATTATTCAAGACATTGAGTTTAGAAATTTCTGATACAAATCCAGCAATTTGTGGAAACCATAGTTATAAGTAGGCTTAACCGATTGTCTTCCACTCAAAACAATCAATTTGAACGAAGCATCTAAACCATACCTCGACTGCAGTGCTTGCATTTAACAATTAAGCATACAAAAATGACATAGTTTCACTTAATAGATTGAATGATTGGAGAATGATACCCAGTTCAAATATTATTTCCGTGATGACCTAGAAGAAGCAATATTTTGATGGAATAGGGAGATGGAATACTTACCTCATCAACAGTGAGCATTTC